TGGCCTCCACCATCAGAAATGGCCCTGTCTGGGACACCGTAGCGTGCAAACTGTGCCTTGCATCTACGGATCGTGGTGTCCGCTGATAGGTCAGGGAGCAGGTCGATCTCCCAAAAGTCAGAATAATGGTCCACCACGAGCAAGAAGTTCTGTGCTGCGTAGCTGTACAGATCCATGCTTACTAGCTGCCAGGGACGTGTGGGGAGCGGGTGTGACATCATAGTCTCTTTCTGTTGTTCATGTGCATACTCATTGCACACAGAGCACTTTTGCACATAATCCTTGACTTCCCCTTGCATACCGGGCCAGTAAAGTGTATCACGGGCCTGCCTGTAGCACGCCTCGCCCCCCACGTGGTTGTAGTGGATCCGTCTCAGCATTTCCGGGCGCATAGCTTTTGGAATGATGACGCGCTGACTCCTGAAGAGCACGCCATCCTGTGCACTTATCTCATCTCTGATGGCCCAGTAGTCCCTGACGGCTACAGGGGTCTCCTCTTTGTGTCCTGGCCATCCCTCCAGCACGACAGACTTAAGTGTTTGAAGACACACATCCTCCTCAGTGTGTGTCCGAATCTGTGCCAGGCGTTGGCTGCTGACATTTAAATAGTCTGCCTGCTGAATGGCCGCCGTGTCACCCTGCTCCTGCTGCATGCTGCAGACCATTTCACGTTGGTACAGTGTGTCTGTTCTCTGTGGCGGGGTGGTGGCTCTGCTGAGCGTGTCACTTATGTACATCTCAGGGCCTGGCTTGTATACCACCGCAAGGCAGTAGTTCTGAAGTGTGAGGAGCATGCTCTGAAGGCGCTTTGGCGCACTGAGGAGGGGCTTGGTGAAGATGGACACCAGCGGGCGGTGGTCGGTCTCTGCAGTCACATCACCCCTCCCATATAGGTAGTAGTGGAAGCGTTGGCAGGCGAATACGATGCTCAGGCACTCCTTTTCAATCTGTGCGTAATTTTGCTCTGTTTGGGTCAATGCCCGGGAGGCGAATGCGACAGGCTGTCCCCCTTGAAGCAAGCAGCAGCCCAGACCCGCCTGACTGGAGTCGCTCTGTACGGTGACTGGCTTGCGGACGTCATAGTACCTTAGGACTGGCACCGCCGTGACCAGTGCCTTGATTTCCTTCATGGCGGCATCATGTTTGGGCAGCCAGTGCCACATCACATCCTTGTCCAGCAGTCTCCTCAGCAGCTCACATACCGCTGACAAGCGTGGCATGAATCTGGACAGATAGTTCACAAATCCGACACACCGCTGGACCCCTTTTGCGTCTGTGGGGTTTGGCATGTCCAGAACCGCCCTGACTTTTTCAGGGTCAGCCTTGAGGCCCTTGGCGTACAGTATGTGGCCGTGGAAGCGGACCTCCTTCACTCGGAACTGCAGCTTTTTCAGGCCCAGTCTCAGCTTTACTTCCCTGCATCTGTCCATCAGAGCGATGAGGTTTGTGTCATGGTCGCGATTGGCCTCATCCTCTGTGTCCCCACAGCCGACTATAAGGATATCATCGGCTATGGGCTCGATCCCTGTCAAACCGGCCAGCAGCTCATGCTGCTTCCTTTGATACAGCTCCAGGGCAACTGACACACCGAAAGGGAGTTTCAGCCAGCGTTTCCTACCCCACGGTGTCCAGAATGTTGTCATCAGGCTGCTTTCTTCATCTAAGCGGCACTGCAGGAATGCATCACGTGCATCCACCAGGGTGAAAATACGTGCCTTCGGCAGCTTATACAACACGTCATCTAAAGTGGGCATAAGGTAGTGGGACCGTTTCAGAGCACGGTTGAGAGGCTTCGGGTCAATGCATAGTCTCAATTTGTCTGGCTTTTTCACTATGACAAGATTGCTAATCCAGTCCGTGAGTTGAGTGACTGTGGTCAAGTGTCCCTCCTCTTCATATCGATCAAGCTGAGCCTTAACAGCTGCCTTGAGGGCCACTGAAACGTTCCTGGGAGCACACTGCACCGGTGCCACAGTGCTGTCCAGCTCAAAGTGAATAACACCGGGCAGAGACTCAACAGGGCTGGTGAACACGTCGTGGTAGGTGCTGACCAGACACTCCTTGGTCAGGTCTCCCTTCCTGCAGTGCTCCACCTTATTCAGCTCCTCAGGAATGGTGAAGCGTATCAGACCAAGTCTCTCACATGTCTCACCCGAAAGCAAGGGCCTCTGGCCAGTATGCATAATCTCAAAGTCCAGTCTGTGCGTCTTACCCCTAATGACGCATTGTGTGCTGTACACACCTAATGAGCTCATCCACTCACTGTTGTATAGTTTTAATCTGGTGAGACTCTTCAGAAGAGGTGTTCTAGGCGCCAGTCTCGTCTTGTCCTTGATGCTCATCACATTGCAAGTGGCTCCAGAGTCGAGCTGGCACCTCTGAACCCCACTTTGCAGTGGCAGGTTGACAAACCACTTTTTACCTCGAATGTTCACAGCCCCCACGCTCTCCGCTGTGTACACGTCTCTCTCATCGCTGTCCTCCAGTTCCCCTGGCAACGGGTCATCCACAGCTGGGTCCTATTTGAGCTTCTGACACCATGTTTGTAGATGTATGTGCATTAATAAACAAGGTATGTCAGGCTGTGTCTCAACGCCGTGTATTCACATTGAGCAGGCAATCATACAACTGAGGCATATTCACATGAGGCAGATATATATAACACAGGCACAATACGTCCACAGGGTGGAGCTGCAACCTAGCCTAAACCACCCTGTAACACACACTGTACCACCACACACACCTACAGCTCCTACAGCATATAATCAGGCGACAGCCGTTGTGTATTTTATTATGTGAAGCACTAAATGGTTTTAGAAAAATATTGACTCTTTGTTTGTAGATATCTACTAAACTACAGCAAATACAGAGAGTAATGTAGGCCTGTTATACTGAGTGATATACACTGCTCTGCTTTCTGCACGGACCTCACAGCTGTTCTCTCTGGAAACATCGTGTTGCGATGAGAGCATTTAATAAAATAATATCCAGGGGATGCATGCAGAGCTGTCATTGGCTGAGATAAGTCCGGCCGTGCGTCACGACTCTTTGAAACATCTCTGTTCCCGGAAATGCATCCACGAAGGAGCCGTGGAGGACCGTGGAGGACCCATCAGTGTATCCTCGGTTAGAGCTCCTCCAGAGAGCCTCCTCGACGCTCGATCCTCGGTCCTCGAAGTGCATTTAGAGAAATGAGATGTCCTTCAACATGGCGCGCTAAAATTCATTTCCGGGTCACTACCGGCAGAATCTGCACCTGGCTCGCCGATAATAAATTATCATTACACCTGGGTAAAACAGAGTCCATTCTCTTCGGTTCGAAACATAATCTCAGCAAATCCGACGACTTCTCAGTTGCAGTGGGCGACATTATTGTCACAAGTAAGAAGGAAATTACATACCTAGGATCTATTCTTGAGGCAAACCTCTCCTGTGACAAAATGGCATCCAATGTAATAAAAAAAGTCAATCAAAGAACTAGATTCCTATACCGGATCTCCTCTCTGGTAAACAAAAACACCCTGAAAACTCTGGCAGGAGCACTCATTCAAGGGTACTATGACTATGCTTGCACGTCATGGTACCATAGCACCTCCAAGGCGCTAAAAATAAAACTTCAAACATCGCAAAATAAACTGGTCAGACTACTGCTTGACCTTTCATCTAGAACCCACCTCACCTCTGCCCACTTTGACAACCTAGGATGGCTTAGAGTAGACGACAGAGTACAGCTACTTGCAATGGGCCTGGTCTACAAGATCCACTACACCTCTATGGTACCCATGTACATGTCAAAATTCTTCCCAAAGGTCAAGGAATACCATGATCATAACACCAGAGGGAGCTCCACAAATCATGTGAAACCCAGATTTGGCACAAAAAAGGGGGAATACACGTTTCGCAATGATGCCACATCAAGGTGGAACGCTCTTCCCACAACTGTAAAGGAAAGTAAAACTATACTTACCTTCAAAACCTCTCTTAAAGAGCACCTTCGGGGGAGAGCATTGCAAAACTGGCCCCGGTAATGGTACAAATCTCAACCTGTCGTTCAATGGACAGCTTCCCCCCCCCCCATCTATGTATATACTCGCATTTTAGACTCTGTTACTAACTGTATATCTGTAGACTTGGTATGTCTTAAATGTCCGGTTAGGATGTATTAGAACGAAATCTAAAATGAAAATTGTAAATAAGCAATCTGTATGTAAAAAACCACCTGTATGTAAATTGTAAATAAGCCATCTGTATGTCAAATATGTCTTAAATGATATGATGAATTGGAAATGGGGGACCCTGATGTAAACAAGACGAAAGTCTTTCTCTGGTCTGCATCCCCTTAACAATTGTATGTTTTGAGCTGTACTGTACTGTACCCAATATACAAGCTGTTAATAAACTTTTCAATCAATCAATCAATCAAACCGAGGAGTCGAGGAGTCGAGGAGGGGGATTTGATGAAATGAGAAAGGGCCCCGGAGATGACAACAACAACCCGAAGTTACAACATGCTTACCGCAATAGTGGTCCGCGTAGAAACACTGTCAGAGGTGTCAGATTGCATTTTGTGCAACTTTGAAGAAGAGGATGAGCATCAGCTAGTTACAGCCGAGACAAACAAGTAGCACTTTAATTCATTTATGTGATTTAACAAATGTAAAAGGGCAAATATTAACCATGAATGCTGTTTATATTGCTAGGAATTTGGATTAAGTAAGCATCTGTTGAGTATTTTAACCTAAAATTGTTTGATTGTGTTGAATTGAAACCATATTGAAACCCAAAAAGGCAGCAGGTCCACCAGACCCATCCACTGGCTGAATAACAGAAATATGAACACAGTCAACACACCACACAAGGGTTAACGTCAAACTTAATCTCAAACTCCTCTCTCCTCGGTTCCCCTCCTCGACTCCTCCGCTCGCATCTCCTGTGGGCGAGACCATAGACTGGGCGTGGCTAAGACACGAGGATAGGAGTCGAGGAGGGGAAATTAGAGAATTGAGAAGCCTTCATGGTGTGGCCCTTTAAGACTCCGGCAACGTCCTGTGACACGTGTCGCGGACGTCTGACGTCAGCTGCGGAAATATCAACATGGAGAACGGGAGAGAAGGTTCCACGAATTCACTTCTGAAAGATGGTAAAAACAGCTATGAGCAGTGGTGTGTGTCGTAATAAATGCGTTCATGGATATTTCTAAAACATATTCTCCACAGCTTCATCATATCTCCACTGTCCCTGCGCAGCTATAACCTGCAGAACACTTCCCGAAGCTAACCCTGTATCTTCATTCCAACAGTGACGTGTGTTATTGGGTTACTGACGTGTTATCCGTACCACACATGCATGGGTTAGTGACGTGTGCCCAGCGCCAGCTTCTAGCACTGTTTACATTTACATTCTACTGCTGGGACCATTGGAATAGCCTGTAATGAATGTTGTCTCTGTGTTGTCTGTCTGTGGTGTGGTCACTATAGTTCATTACTATAGTGACCACACCACAGACAGACAACACAGAGACAACACAAACACAGAGACCAAAGAGACATCAGACAGACCAGAGAGACAACAGACAGACAGACAGACAGAGAGACAACAGACAGACAGACAGACAGACAGAGAGACAACAGACAGACAGACAGACAGACAGAGAGACAACAGACAGACAGAGAGACAGAGAGACCAGAGAGACAACAGACAGACAGAAGAGACAACAGACAGACAGTGCAGGTGTGTGAGATGAACTGCTCTGCCTACTGAAGGAACGACAGGTGCAGCTGAATGGTTCATTGAGAAAAAGAGGTGTTGTTTCAGAAACAGGTCAACACAGGATGAGGTTGTGAAATGTCCACAGTGTTCTGAGAGATGTTGGATGTGCTGCTGTGTTCCAGGCTGCTACGCTGACTTCCTGGCAGAGGACTTTGATGTGAAGACGTACACGGCTCAGGCCATCCAGCATGCGGTCCTCGCGGAGCAGCTGGGCCGGCTGGCTCAGGGCATCAGTCAGCTGGATAAGGAGCTGCACAGCCAGGTACAGTTCACCAAAGACCAAGGTTCAGAATGTCTCACATGAAGACTGCTCAATCAAATAGCCATATACTGGTGAATCAGTGTGCTGCGTAGGGCTGCAACAAACGACTCATTTGATAATCGATGAATGAAACGATAAATCGACTATTCGGACTATTACTGTATGCCTTGCACAATTTCTCAAACGCTCTTATTTAGCCATCAACTTTTAGATTTAGCTTGAGGTTGTTTTAGGCATGTGGAAACTAACAATGAAGACAATACAGATGAATACTTGATTCAAAAATACATATATTATTAAATTAACTTAACAAATTGTGAACAGAATTAACATTGCTTTTAATTTAAATTAAATAAATAATATTTCACATCAAAAGAAACAACAATGTTTTAACAAATCATATTAAATAATCTGATAACAGAACTGTAAACAGAATAGCTGAAACTTTAACTAAATAAATAACTCAGTTTCCTCTAATCATTAACCCATGTTTGTATCATGGAGTTAACTCCGTGTGTTGCTGCTAGCATAAATAACACCTGACGTGGAAACGTTCCTCGTGGATGGGGCTGCAGAGCAGCTAGAAAGACGGTGGAACCCGGTGCATTCCTCCGTCTGAACGTGGAGCACTTTTGATAAATATTTAGACACATTGCTCGTGTTACCGCCCTTACATGCTAAACTCTTATTGCACTTTTGGCAACGAGCATTGTCCACATCGAGACGTGTGTAACTGCTCCGCCCCCTCGCACACAGACGGGGGAGAGAGATCTCGTCTGATCGAAAATACATCATAGACGCATTTGTTGTCTTTTTGCATGTTAGAAACGAGTTGGCGACACTAAGACTGCGATATAATACTTATGTAGCAATAATACATGACATATATTTTTTAAATGTCTCTAGTACCGATAAAAAGACCAATAACGTTGGAGCTTAACGGCGCGTAAAACACATGTGATGACGTCACCAATGAATCGACGACTGAATTAGTTGGCAACTAATTTGGTAATCGATTTTAATTGATTAAGTCGATAAGTTGTTGCACTCCTAGTGCTGCGTATAACCAAACGCTAGGAATGATTCTTTAAACATCAGGGGCCTCATTTATAAAGGGATATACGCTCAAAAAATGGCGTACGCCAGTTTCTACGCAATGTTTGCGATTTATAAAATACTAACTTGACGGGAAAACGTGCGGTCCTCCACGCAAACTCTAACCCATGCGTACGCACTAAGCACAAACACGGGAGAGACGAGAAACTGCGACACCGTTGGCAGAAGGAAGAATAGAGAGAAATATGTGGAAATAATACCATGAATAAAATGTTACCTCTCATTTATCATATATGAAGAATTCATTTTCAAACATTGATTTAAGCCAATCTTAAAATGATTAAACAAACACCTGTTTGAGACTCCTCAGTGCACACAAACACATAACTTGGAGAAATAAATAAATACGGATATGTTATTTAAAACCACCTTGAATATGTTGTGTTAATGTTATGAAATGTTTTCTCATAAATGATGCGGTTTTGCATTTCTATAGGTTGTACGAGCATGGTTTTATATACTACCATGTTTAATCATGTTTTATGGGACGGGAGGGGGGAGGGGGGTTGAGACGCACAGGCTGCAGCTGATCGACAGCTGGGACACAAACCACCAAATACAAAAACATAATTCAGATCCAGTCGTCATGACTCCACTCCGGAGGGATTCCCCGATCAGGTCTTACAGTTTCTCATCAAGGGGGTGTCTCCTGTCCCCGGTACAAACACACTGCCTGAGGAAGGCTATGTGTATTTTTTTTGTCATGAACCTTTTTCGGACCACTTATTTATTTGTTTTGGTGACGATCCGACCTCCGTGCTGCTACTCTGGTTCAAACTGCATCCACCAAACAATATGATTTATCTCGACCTCCCCAAAAGAACCAAAATCTGACACGGTGTGAGATGTCTTTTTTAGCTGTTCTGTCGTCATTTCCTGCAATCTTCTTCATGCAGTCAGTCAGAATGAATGAATGGGCGTTTCTTTGACTATTTATAGGCAAATATGGGAGTTACGTGAAGCCCGCAAAAGCTGCACCACATTTCAAGTCGGTTGTGATTTATAAAGGGAAACCGGCGTAGGAAGTTTTTCCTCGCCGGTACGCAATGTTGTGTGAATCGGAACATTTCTGTACCTATTTTGTTTTGCTTTGTACTACGTAAGCAACCTTCCCACGTGAATCCTACGCACGGCGTTATAAATGAGGCCCCAGAGCTTTTTGTCTCAGGGTGTGTGACGGTGGGCTTTTTCAGAAGGTATTCAAATTTGACAATAATATTTATATTCTGAGAATATTATTGATACGGAGTGTTGGAAAAAGTGCTGCGATGATTAGAGGTTTAATCACTTTTCAAATTGACACAAAATGTATCTGCAGTTATTATGTTGTTTGTTGATTTTGAGGTTTCTTGTACAAAATGTCAAACTGATGATCAAATCATAACAATGATGTGTATTCATAATAATACAGTGAAAGTCAACTTTATTGTCTTCTGTGTGTGTGATACAGACAGGGAGATCACAATTCTGCTTATCATCATCACCCAGAGTAAAACATATATTACAACAAAAAGAAACTGTGTTTGTTGAGTGGACGAGATAAGTATTTGATCCCCTGCAGATTTAGTTGCCCACTTACAAAGAAATGAACAGTGGTAGGTTTATTTGACCAATGAGAGAGAGAATATCAAAAAGAAAATCCAGAAATTGACATTATATAAAAGATAACCATTTAATTGTGGGAAATAAGACACAGACCCTTACATTTTCCCAACAGACACAGATAGACTAAGTTCTCACCAAAATGTGATAATAGAAACAAGCATTAATATCAAACGTGATAGACACATCAAGACATAGTGAAGTTGCTGATGTCCGGGTTTGTTACAGTAAACCTTACCTGTGAGTTTGCTAAATCTCGCCAGTACCACCACCACTGTAACACATGTTCAGCCCTCACCTTGTAATGTGGATCATCTTTTACCCCAATAAATGCCAATCGTTTGGAATACTTCTGGCCATTTCTTAAAGTGTGTCATTTGTTTAATTATTCTGTGCCCTTCGGGCAGCAATGTGGTTTAACTAATAATATCGTTTAGTGGAAATGAAGCATAAACTTGTTTAACACTAGAACCGCCAGAGGTCGCTGTATACCTAAAACCGCCAACGGGTCAAACTTTACCCGCTATTGATTTTCAAGGTACAATGTTCTTTAATTTGTCATACAGAACAGTGAGTTTTGATCGCACAGGGATGAGACTTATACCCATAGAGTCTGTGGACTCTCAGCTCTTGTGCAGATAGCATGAAGTATAAAATATCACTACCAGTGCTGATTTAAACGCTTGGTGTTAGACTTGTGTTTTGTTTAGGTACAAATCTCTCTCTCTACTCTCTCTATAACTATCTATCTGTATCTCTCTCTCTATCTATCTATCTATCTATCTATCTATCTATCTATCTATCTATCTCTATCTATCTATCTATATCTCTCTCTCTCAATCTATATCTCTCTCTCTCTCAATCTATCTCTCTATCTATAAGGAACCGCAGTAGACAAAAGGCGTTGCTATAGCAACACGTATTGTTTACGCTGCATTTTCTATGAGGTAAATATTACCTACTGGCGGAAATAGGTATAAATGGCATTTCTTTTGACGATTTTTTTCAATCTGACTTCATATTGATAATTTTTAACAACAGAGGGTGCTACATAACACACTTTCAGGAAAAGTCATGGACTGGGAGACATACAATTTATTAAAAAAAAACAGCTGCGGGTAAAATTGACCCGTTGGCGGTTCTAGTGTTAAACCACATCCCTGTGGTAACAATAATTCTTATGTGTTTATACTTCCTCCATCCAGGTTGTGGCCAGACATGAAGACTTACTGTCTCAGGCCACTGGGATAGAGTCCCTTGAAGGTAAATCATTAACATTGTTTTTACTTTTTCCATTTTTTTTAATTGATTCATCACAAATTGACAGAAATGACAGAGCAGTTGTGATTGACAGTGTCACATTACAGTTGTGCAGATCATAACAAACAATACATTACAACAACAAAACAAATAGTTGGCTTGGTCATACAACAAAAAAGCAAACAAATAATAACCTCATTCTCTCCAGGTCAGAATCAAATAAAATGTTTTAAATGAATGAGTAAAGCAAATAAAAAAAGATTTGGGTGTTATTCTGGAATATCTGGGAAGGTCATCCTCTATGCATAGTTCAAATAAAGGCCCCCAGCCATTTTTGAACTTCCTGGAGGAGCCTTTCAGTGTGTAACAGATCTTTTCAAGCTGTAAATTATAACAAATGTCTCTTATCCACATACTGTAGGAAGCTGGTATTGATTTCCATCTTGTTGGTATTTGGCGTCTTGCTAGTAATGTTGCAAAGTCTATAAGGTCCGCTTAGAGCTAGGCAAAGGCAGGTTCCAGACACCGATTACTGCAGTAATGGCATTAGGTCCTAGGCCCAGTTATTAGGGATGCTCTGATCGTTATCGGCTGCTGATCGTTGGTGGCCACCGATCTTTATCGGCCGATAATCACCCTCGGCCGATCGATCGGTGCTCTCTATAAAGGCCAATCAGGAGAGCCGATCACATGACGTAAAATACATGACACTTTTCTCTGTGCGGCAAAACAAGCTCGCCAAAATGGCTTCACCGGTCTGGCAGTATTTGAAGGTGTCCGAAAAAGACAGTAAAATAGCGGAATGCAACGTGTGTGAAGCAGAAATCCTGCAGCTCCACCCGCTGTGACGGACCGGTGAGCGGAGCAACACACACTAAGAGTTAGACCTAACACACTTAGCTATTTTATCTACCTCTGGAACAAGCTAAACCAGTTATAAATATATTTATTCTTCACTGTCAAAGTCCAGTAGTTGTGCAGAGACGTACATGACCAAAACATATGCACATGGTTTGCAGGTGTTTGATGACATTTTTCACAAGAAGGACAGTGTTTCCCACAGAATTTGATTCTATTTGTGGGCACACCGCACCCCCCGGCAAGAAAAGCCAAAGGCCCCTTAACCAATTCGGGTTATCAAATAAGATAATATATGCAGGGGTGCACATAACTTTTTTGCCCTGGTTCTCAAAGGAGCACCTGGAGATGTTGCTTGGTGCGCATCCTTAAAATGAAATAAACTGTAACTTTTGAGGGGTAGGCTACTTGACTTTATGAACGGGGGGGGTGGAGGTGTGCTAGTGAGCACGCAGCAGGGTTACTGTGCGGAGCGCGTAAAGCAGACCCTTCACGCGATAGCGGGGATCGCAGATGCCGTCGTGCTCGTGGACGGATTAAAACAATTAAACCTAAATAGCTCGCTAATTATATACCCTGCTATTTTACCAGTTCTTATGCAACTCGCAAATCTCTCTATGTTGGTGCGCAAATGCGCCTTTTTTCAAATTATCCGGTGCTCTTTTTTGGCGGAGGGTGCGCATGCGCACCAGTTATGTGCAGCACTGAATATATGCGAGTTCATGGCTACTGTAGACAACGTTGCTGTTGCTCTGTGTTGCGTTGTTAATGAGTGAAACACACCAGTTGAGGATCTGTGGGGTTTATTCTCCCAACAATATAATTTACAATTTAGGCATTTAGCAGACGCCTTATTCCAAGGCGACTTACAATGATTACAGGGACATTCTCCCTGGAGTAACCGAGGGCTAAGTGCCTTACTCAAGGGCACACTAGTAGTGGTGTTCCAGGCAGGATTTGAACTCGCAACCTTCCGATCATCAGCCCACCTCACTATCCATTAGACCACCAAACAAATAATAAAAAATAAAATAAAAAATAATAATATTTTTTTTATGAGATCCATTTGTGGCGGACGATATTTAATTGTGGCGGCCCGCCACAATTAAATCAATGTATGGGAAACACTGAAGGATCTATATTGTCATACACTTTGAACAACCTGACTTGAGTCCAATGAGTGCGGTGAACAAGCTTACACTGAATCAAACCATGTCTGCCGCAGACAGATGAGGTGGGCACACGCCTAAGAATATCGCCCCAAAGATCCTCTGAGATCTCCTGCCCCAAATCCTCCTCCCAACGAGCTTTCACAGAGTTTAGAGAGGTTGAAGATGGGGTTTGGATTTCATTGTAAAAGTACGAGATCATTCCTTTCGCAGGGACCTGAGTGAGAGAAGCATCAGATTCTAGAGGCATGTCGCCAGGCAGGTTGGGAAACTGGGCATATCTATTTCGAGCAAAACTCAGAATTTGCAGGTATCTAAAAAAAACAATTCCGAGAGCTGTTGAGAAGATGCAAACCTGTTATCAATATGTACATCTTTAAATTGTTTAATACCAAGGTTTGACCATATAGTAAATGCACAATCTGATATGGAGGTGGAAAACCATGATTTGCAGCTAGTGGAGCTGAGGTAGAGAAAGCTTGCAGACCGAAGTGACGTTTGAACTGATTCCAAATCCTTAAGGAGGTTTTAACAACTATATTTTTAGCATAGAGCAGGGGTGGGGAACCTTTTTCGTCTCAAGGGCCATTTCAATTTTTCCAACATCCTCAGAGGGCCGTACAAATGATTGACCTCTGCTTAAAAAAACTAAAATCACAGCCCATTCATTTGGCCTTTTCTTTCATGCTGTGCAAAGAAAAAGCAACCTCTTAATCCAGATATCTTACCATGATGATGCATGCACGTGCACGGTTGTGGCATGACCACCCAAACAGAAATATATGGACACAAGATGTGTGCAAATGTATTTAGTTTCCTATCCATGTGAACATGATTTAAGTGGGGACCTAACCTAGGGGGGTGTTCTCCCCCAGGAAGATTTTTTTTTAAATGTTGAAGTTAAAAGCATCAATCTGGTGCACTTTGAGAGCAACATTAGATCTATGGAAACGTCTCTCAACATCCATATGAAACAGAACTGTAAGCAGATTTACTTTTTCTTTATGGATATTTTACAAATCACTCTCCTTTCAAACTGTATCCTTGTTTATTAATAACAACTTGTTTTTACTGTCATATAGTATTTTATACCTGTTTACTTTATTCTCTTATTTTTTTATAACTATAATGATCAAGATGTGCCTTTACCTCACTGGTTGTAGAACAAGCTTCTTATATTCGTTAGCATAGCTAGCTAACCAGATGCTAATAACAACAAAGTTATTGACTGTATGACAGATGAACAGATCGCCACTGGGCTTTCAACTAAAGACACAGACACGCAAAAACTGCGGCATGTGTACGGCTCCTTATGGGTACTGCAATTTGTGGAAGTGCCGGAGCGGCGTTCTGCTGCTCTCGGTCAGCACTACACCCCTGTCAGACGAGACATATACCACGTGATGACACGTTAGGCTCGTGATGTGTTCAAGGACCCTGACCTTGGCCAGGAAAAACAGGCACTCGCTTGTTTAATTTTTTTGCGGTCTAGATTTCTTTAATTTTTTTCTTTTTTGCATATGTTTATAAATTACCTCGAGGGCCGTAGCAAAAGGTCTCGTGGGCCGTATACGGCCCGGGGGCCGGAGGTTCCCCACCCCTGGCATAGAGGGAAACCGGGCTGTTGATGGGGGAGTGTACAAGCGATGTCAGTGACCCAGGCTTAGAGCAAAAAGACTCCATAGCCAGCCAAGCGGGGTGAGGATGAAAGGTTTCAGCTCTAAGCCAATACTGTAAGATTCTAAGGTTGGAAGCAAATAGTAAAACCTAAAGTTTGGTAAGGCCATTCCTCCAAGAGGCTTGGGCCTTTGTAGAAAGTCTTTACGTAGTCTAGGGTTTTTTGTTCCAAATAAACTCAAAAATTAAGCTATCCGTTTTTCAAAAAAATGCTTAAGGAAGAAAAGTAGGTATACACTGAAAGAGAGTATTCATTTTCACCGAGTTGATCCTCGCGGCCAAATGTAATGGGAGCAGTGACCAGCGTTCAAATTCTTGTTGCATACGTTCTAAACAGGGTGTACAATTGGCCTTAAAGAGACTTTTACATTTGCTAGTAACTTGGATTCCAAGACATGTAACACTTTGCAGATATACTTTAACCTGTTAAGCAACATCTTGCAAGAAACAGCGTCTGAGGGCTTCTTAACATTTAACAAACTAAGAATGTGTCATACCCACTAAACGGGAAGAAACTCAGCTACCTGACGATATGAACCATTTGTACCAAACACAACTCTAACGCCAAGCGTCTGAATTAGCACTAAGCGAAAGAGTGCTAACGCACTTGGCACATAACTCACGGTAGAAATATTGTGTACTTCATCAGATCTGCACAAACATATCACATGAAAGCTGAGATTCCACAGATTCCAATGGTATAAGTATCATCACTGTGCGGCCAAAACTCAGGGCGGCGAAGGCAAGCAAAGACAACACACAACTTCACTTTACGTGGCCAAAACGGCAAACACGTCTTACCTTTGCTGTTTTCTGATCAAAAGTTGTGTTCAAGGGCATTACAACGCATATAAACGCTGCTGAAGGTCAATCCAATGGCTCTGTGTCACTTTGAAATGATTACTGATAATCCATCATAACATTTATGGCAATCAGAGTAGTTTTCATAGCTGCTATGAGAGTGTATGAGAGCTTCCGGTTTTGGGCATGCTGGCTGCGCATCACTCTAATTCACCAATGGGTAATGTTCAGATGGATTTAGGAACTTCCCCTCGATGCTATTGGCTCTAACGGTTAAAAAGAGACGTCAATCATCAAAATCGACCAATGGGTTCCAGGGATATGGAAAATCCACCCAAATGACCCCAGAGGTGGTTTTTTTTCCTAAATCTCTCTAAAAAGGTCAAATGTCACTTGTTTTGCATCAATCTTGATACAAGGTACTTATTATATGTTATAGTTTGGATTCCTAAAGCTTTTAGTCTACTATCCCATCATTCAAGGGTGGTTTTCACTATA